ATAATTAAAGCAATCTTTTGAGAAGTTGATTAATAAATCTAATTGACTTAAAAAATATAACAATAATTTCATATAAACTTACAATATAGTCTAGCAAGACCACAATAAAAACTTCCATTTTTAAACTTCTATGCAATCTAAGCCTAAAATCCCTCATGTCAATGTGTAACAAATATGCCCCTTTAAAACCCTTCAAACTTTATAATGAAACAATATATCTAGTTTAAATAAATTCTACATTCACGTAAACTTCTTTAAAATAAATTTTGACACAAGCTGAGTAGGTCGCACAATATATTGCTAACACAAAAATCATACATTACACTGCTCTAAAATTAATTAAAGACAAACCTATAATATAGTCTAGCAATACTACAATAAAGAACTCATATTTCAACTTCTATGCTATCCAACATACATGCCCCTTTAAACACTATAATGAGACAACATGTCTAGTTTAAATAAATTCTACATTCATGTTAAGTAGCACAACATAGTGCCACCACAAAAAAACACTTTACAATGCCCTAAGCAGTAATTTATTTAAAATTAATATTTTTTCAAAAAATTGACACAAGTTAAGCGGGTCACACAACACAACGTAAATGACACACTGCACAATTTTAAGAAGTAATTTACTTAAGATAAAAAAACCATATTTTAATGAAAATTGTCACTAATGTATTAGATATATACTGTTGGGTGACTACTTTACGAATGTAGGATGATCGTAAGTTATTTTAAAAGAATTGAGACTACTTTCATCTATTTTCATGCATAGAAATAAATTTTGAATAATATATACAATACACAAAATTCTATTAGTTTACTCTAAAGAAGAACATAGGGTATAGAGTGTACTTGGAAATAGAAAGGAAGCCTTAAGCAAGAGAGAGAGAAAAAAACGTGATATTGTAATTACAAAAAATAGTTGCTATGGTAGAGGAGTATGCTTGGAAATAGAAAATACGTGTTTAGAGAGACCAAAAATAATAATAATAATAATGTAATTGAAAAAGATGGTTGCAATGGTAGAGAAGTGTTTAAAAGAGAGAAAATAATAATAATAATGTAACTGAAAAAGATGGTAGCAATGGTAGAGAAGAGTTTAAAAGAGTGAAAATAATAATACTAATAATAATAATGTAATTTAAAAAGATGGCTGCAATGGTAGTGGAGAAGAGAAAAAAGTTACTGACAGCTGTGGGATTTGAACCCACGCCCTTTCGGACCAGAGCCTAAATCTGGCGCCTTAGACCACTCGGCCAAACTGTCTTCGACAAGTGTACATGTGAAATAAATAGTATAAAAATAACTATTTATTATTATAATTGTGAATTTCGAAATTTTATTATTTTAAGAGCAAAATGGCCTCGTAGTATTACACTAACGCCGTTATAAGGGTGTTAATGCCCCTTGCCCCTTCAACCGTGTAGCACAGGATCTCCCATCCCCCAATGAGGCTCTTAAGAACCATCTAGTATCAATACCATAGTAAGTTTTTTATTAAAATGTGATTTTTTGAAGTCCGTTAAAAATTCTGAGTTTATTAAAAAATATTAAAAAAACTGTGTTTCTTTTAAGGAGACGATATAAAGGTATATTTATCTTTTTTCAAAAAAAAAAAAAAATTCAGAAAAACTCCTTGCATATAACTTTACTTCTCTTTATTGATTTGATAGCTTTGAAAAATTGTTTCAACGCATGCACATTACAATTTTTATTAAATTAAGAATCGTGATATAGTCAAAAAATTTCATAAACACCAATTTCCCTTAAAAGATTTTATTAAGAAAAGAACACTACAAACATTTAGAAAAATATATTCTCTTAAAACAATTGTATATCTTAAAATTGGGAAAGGTTTCTATACTTCCCCTACAACGTAGAAGATCTATGCTTCCCTTACCATCCAACCGTCCAATTTTGATCAAGAGAACCACTCACCGTTTGATCTTAGATCTGACGTCTCAATGTATTTTATTTTTAGTTTTTTTATACAAATTGTGGGGCGTACCTATAAAATATATTAAAAATAATTTTTTGATAAAATAAAATGACCAAAATACCCTTGCAACTTTTAAAGGTATTTTAGTCATTTTATTTTATTGAAAATATTTTTTTTATATTTTTCGCTAGTGCCAGTTTAATAGAGGATTGGACATCCAAAATTTGGTGTCTAAATAGTTAATAGAAAAAAATTAAAAACAAAATAATGTAGAGACGTTCCATTATGATTAGTGTCATCTAAGCCCTCTATTCAGAATGTAACGTCTCTACACTATTTTGTAGAGACGTTACATTACTCAATAATTATATGTCCTTAATATAACTCATTGTCTCTACACTATTTTGTAGAGACGGTACATTACTCAATAATTATATGTCCTTAATATAACTCATTGTTGGGTTTGGTGATAGCTAAATCACCAAACCCAAATTTTCTTCTAAAGAGTAAGGTATTATGGGAAATAGAAAATTGAATTTCGTGGGAAGCAAAAAAGTGATATATTTATAAGAAAGTAAGTGAAGGAAGACATAATATCCATCCTTTGAGGGTCGACCCTTTCGGGTTATGGGAATAGATCTCCAATATGGAGATAAATCTCCAAGAGTCCAAGAGAGAGAGATATGGCCTCCGAAAGAGATACAGTATTCCCATAAGTTTTGAGTTAATTAACTTCCACTTTTAGATAGAGAATATATTTATATTGCTCTCGAGGTTATCTTTCCGATAGCAGCATTGCGGTAGGAAAGAAGTTGATCGACGGTGTTGCACGGTCGATAGAACGTGTTTAGAAGAGAAGATCGGTGATGGTTTTTACCATGTTTAGATATAAGTATATCTCTTGTAATTTAAAATAAAGATAGGTATTATTTCTTGTAACTTAAAATTTGTAATCTTTATTGTGATAGTGGAATTCTAGTTATCGAGGCCGTGTATGTAGCCCTACGAAAGTGAACCATATAAATCGTGTATTGTTGTAGTGTGATTTTTATATTTATTTTATTTCTCTCATTCGATTTAAAATTGTATTCATCTACTTCACATTTGACCATTACGTAGAGGATATTGGATGAGATCTTGGTATTTGAGATTCCAGTCTCGCAAGTCAAGATGTTCTCGAAATCCCAACACACATCACCATTGATTTTGTACAAATCGCAAGATGAGATTTGAATACCTCCCATTTTTTTAATTTTTTTAAAAAAAGTCTCTCATCCGTACTCTACCCCTACACACCGACACATGCATCTCTCTCTCCTGCCTCACCCATCTTAATATTGGGTTTTCTAAACCACCATCCCTCTCTCCTCTGTGTTAATCTCTGTCACTCCCTCTACAGTCGGCTCTCTCTCAGTGCTCGAAACCCTAACCCTATTTCCTAGTTCGAATCTCTGCAACTCAATGTTTGGGACCTTCTATGAACGCCTATGCTTTGCTTAATGGCTTCAAATCTCACCTTGGTGGTGATGGAGATGTTGTGGTTGTTTTGAAATCTGGGGCTTTGGTGGTATTCAGGCGAAACGAAGCCGCCATGGAATCTAGTTTTCAAGGAGAGAGCCAACCATTTTCAGGCGATGGCTTTGGATATGACCATCGGCAAGTAAGGGCTTTTTTTTCTCTCTTGACCTCGATATCTCTTCTTTTTTCTTGATTCTAGGGTTACATGTTGGTGTTTTTCAAGTAGTCAGTTAGAAAAGTGTTGACCCAATTCTCGTTTGTGGTCTTTTTTTCTGAAATTAAGGATCGAAGAGTATTTTTTCGACTGGTTTTGAGGCTCAAATTTTTTTTTACCACAAAGTTCTTATCCACTGCTGTTTTTTGTTGCAATAGTTCCGCCAATTTTTCAGGTCAATATCTGGACCTTGGACAGCATACAAAGAATTAAAAAGCCATTGCCACTAAAGAATGGAAGAATCAAATCATAAACAATTAGTTGAGACTTAAAAGGCCATATGTAATGTTTCATTTCCATCCTAGAGCCTGCCTTATACCAGTGTAAATGAGTCCTAAGGACCTCCCAATCAAGCAAACCAGAAAGAAAGACACAGCACTATCAGACTCGTCAAAAAATATTCGTAAGGCCATAAAGGAAGGCTATGATTTGATGCAAGTTATGGTTCTCCAAGCATTTGCAATAAAGTGTTAAGAGATTATTTTTTGTGGGTTGCAATAAAGTCCCTTAATTCACAGTTTCTTGATTCAAGCATTCATCTGGTAACTAGAGTTTTTCCTATTTTTGGGGACCCTTATTTTTATATTTGCTTTTTCTTTTTTGGAAAAAAATTATTATGGTGTTTCATTTTTAGTAATTGATGCAGAGTAATGAAATTTTACCATGTCTATTGGCTTAGTGATGAGATGATACTATAGATCCATCCACATTCCCAGAGAAATTTTAAGTGTGCATTATATTGAAGCAAACATTTCTTTGATGCTTAGGCCCTATATTATTACATTGTCACAGGGCTATAACAATCTGCTCGGCACCAACACCTTTTTCAGTTGTATCGGCTCTATGCTAATTTAAGGGTTTTTTTTTTATTTTATTTATTTAATTTTTTTGTTTGTGAATTTTTTTGGTATGGGTTTGATGAGCTTGTTACAAAATGCAAATGAGATTTTCCTTTCCCAGAACTGTTGGAGATAAAATTTGAGTTTTGAATATGCACTATGTCATCATAATGTCATATTTCAAATAGTAGATAGAACCTTCTCACACGATAATGCTCAATTGTTGGTTTTCTTTTTGCTTATAAATAACCCCTTATATTTGCTGGTTTTTTCCCAATAGGCACCTATGAAAAGTATGCATGCACAAGGGGAATCACAGGTAAAAAGGAGCGATAATGATGGTTCTAAGGAGGTCAGTGATATAAATACTTGTAGTGAGGAAGATGAAAATGGGAGGTTGGGAAGCCCGAATGCAAATAAAAGAAATATTGGTTCTGAACCATCAGAGGAAGAAACAAAATTATTCTATAATGAATATACAAGGCCAATGCGGTTTAGCATGTGCATGGGAAATATGAAAAAAACACAACGTGAAGGGTCGTGTGCTCTGGTAGATTTCTATGTTCAGGAGAATGATTTTGTACAAAGAAAGTTGGTAGTGGAAAACCTACTCGGAAGGTACTTACACAAAAGTTAGTAAGAGTTGGTTTCAAAGCAATGATGAAAATATGTAAGAAAGATATTGACAAGTGGGTTGTTACACGTTTTAAGAGATACCACAATCATATATTTGTGAGCCCAAGTAATGTGCATTGTCTCCGATTACATCGGACTATTTTTTAATGTAATAAAAGTATTATCAATATCTTTCATAAAGCAAGGATTCCTACTAATAAGATTAGGAATGTATTTTGTGTAATTTAGGCTTTATTAATAGGCTACTTTCGAACCATCATTATGAATCTCTTAATAGATGGTTTTAAAGAGGTCAGTGAAATAAATACTTATAGTGAGGTCAGTGATATAAACAAGAGTATTATCATTACTCTTCCATTTCTGTAATTTAGGCTTAATGGACCGTGATTGTATAAATAAGTTTAGAAAGATTAGAAAGAAAATCTTTGACGATGATGCTCGATTGCTCTTAAATTATTTAAAGCCCATGCAAAGTGAAAATCTTTCCTTCGTTTATATAATTGATGTAATTGATGATGGTCATTTCGCAAATATTTTTGGGTTGATGCTAGGTCAAGGAATGCATATCAATGTTGTGTGGATGTGGTGATTTTTTATATAACCTATAAGACTAATAATTTTAAAATGCCTTTTGCCCCATTTACTGGAATCAACCATATAGATTCGACCTTATTTGGTTGTGCACTTTTAGGAGATGACACCAAATCGTTATTTGTTTGACTATTTGAGACATGGCTTTCGGCAATGTATGGTAAACATCCAATTACAACAATTACTTACCAAGACAAGGTTATGCAAGGAGCTATTGCTTGTGTATTCCCAAACATTGTCCACAAGTTTTGCAAATAACACATCTTTAAAAAGGTCAATGAGAAGTTGGGTAGTTTTTGTGCAAAACATCCTACCTTTGTAAGGGAGTTCTTCAACTGTGTTATCTAGACCGAAACAATTGAAGAGTTCGAGAGTTTATGAGGATTAATTATTGATAAGTATGAGCTAAAGGAAAATAAATGGTTAGTATCATTATATGATATTTGACATCAATGATATTCCCCAGGTTTTGTATTTGAACTTGTTTATATTTTGGATGTAAAGCATTATTTGAGCCTGTTTATGTGTTTTTGTATAGAGCAACCTATTTGTGGGTTGCCTAACACTCGTATTTTGTTTACCTTTTATAGTAACAACAATTAACACACTCACAATAACTTAGGTATGTGTCTTGGATTGTATACTGATTGTCTTAATGAGTGGTTGGATTTATTTTTACCGTCTTAAACTACAACAAATTTTATTGCTTGTTGTATTTGGTGTTTTTCCTTGTTAATACTAGCTCGGATAAGAAGGATGTTATTCCAAATGGTGAGTGTCAATGTAAACATCGCTTTTCACCAATGAATATTAAACCAATCCCCGAATTTGATGAGTTGTAGGTTTTTCTCTTTTTGTAACTCATCTCTTTCATATGGAGTAACTCTTTGTGAAGTAGTGCCAATTGCCTTGCTTGATAACTGGTGAGCTATTGACTTATATTACAAACATTGATAGAATACATGCTATTGAAATAGGACTAAAGACGAATAAGATTTGGTTGGAAGATATGCAATATGCAACGGTTGCCATAAAGTTAGAACTATAATTGGGAGGTTATAATTGAACATTGTTAACAAACTTTTCTTTTCCAAACTAGTGGAATACACACTGACACAATATAAAGAGCAAAGTTTTTATTTTGAATTACAAAAGGATGAGTGAACAATAGGACATAGTAACACACCCAAAAAAAAAGTAAAATAAAATCAATACACATATAATCACACGCAGCACAAAAAGCAATTTATTTTTCTTGCAGTGCAACTGGATTTCAGCAACTAAATTCAGTTCAAACATAAAAAGTTCAATTATACTGAGAGAGGGAGATATCTGAATCTATAGCTTTAAAATCAATTGAATTCAATTCACATATCTGAATCTTTAACTTTAAAATCACCTGAATTCAATTCACATAAACAATCGGGATGGAGAACCACCTCCCCACCATTGAATTGCTGAATAAAAGCCCATCATTGTACACTGACCAACAAAACTTTGTACATGTGGGTTCAATCTGAACACCAAGAATTAAACTAATCATATCCATACATATCATGAATTCAGATAAGAAAGCTTCTATATACAAAGACCAAAAGTTTCAAGGCACCAAAAAGGCCCAAGACAAATATCTTGTGACTCTGCATACACCAAGAGAAAGAGATAGATCGGGATCATGATTCCAACCACCCAAGAATACATAGTCTTGAGGAAACCAGAGGAGTTCATAGAAGGTCTCAAACATTGAGTTGCAGAGATTCGAACCAAGAAACAGGGTAAGGGTTTCGAGCACTAAAGCAGAGACAGGAAGGGAGAGAGATTAACGCAAAAGAGCGAGAGAGACGGGGGTTTAGAAAACCCAATAAGATAGGGGAGATAGAGAGAGAGATGCACGTGTCAGGTGTAGGGGGAGAGTATGGATGAGGGAGATTTTTTATTTTAAAAAAAAAAATTTAAAAAAATTGAAAGGAATTCAAATCTCACTTTGAGTTTTGGAGATGAATTGGGGTCCTATGCTTATTTTTCCCCCGATTTTTTACCTCGAACCTTTTTGACCAAAGCCTGTTTATTACGGCCCTTTACCTTATCAATATCTTGTTATTCCAACTTGCTAACTATGATCAATACCTCTCAATTTATAAGGGGTCATTCATAGAAAGACAACCGGGGTCCAATATCATATGTCCAGGACATGGCCGATTGTCCTTATTAGGCACACACAAAATAGGGATTGTATACTAGACCATTATTACGCGGAGGTCACCATTACTCCTAACCAGTGTTAAAAATCGTCCATTCGATCTGGAATTCGGCGATCCGAAATCGGATATCGGTGATACGGCACCAAATCTAGTATCAATGAGATATCGGACGGTTCTTTTTTTTTTGTCTTTTTTTTTATTGAAATATGGGTTTTCTAGCATCGTTAAACATAATATACTTCACTTTTAACACCGTTAGGCATCGATGATACTGAGCTTTTTTACAGCAGCATAACACGTGAACGTCGACTTGACTTTCTTTCTTGTGCATGTCCGCCATCCAATGCCAAGTGGTCTTGCCCCATGTGGCTTTGTACCATGCCCCATGCATGATAATTTACGAAATTCGTTTTGTGCGAATTCTTTTATGTGGTATAATGCTCCCTCATCTTTTCGATGTGGGGCAAATGCTTTTTGTATCACCCATCGAAAAAGTTATTAATGATTGCTTTGTGTATGGCAAGTATTAGCGTATGGTATCACCGATGTGGGGCAAGTATTAACATCCGATATCACCACTTAGGTTCCACATTTAATTTTGTCTATTCACTCAACGATGTGGGGCAAATATTAACATCCATTGTTAATACTACGTTATTGATTAATAGAGATTAAAAACAAAAAAAATAGTACTAACTTATAGGATATTAGAACAATAAAAAATAATATTAATACTAGTTTATTGATCATTAAAAAATTTCTTAGTTTATGGGACATTTTAATTAAAAAAATAACAGTAGCCCAAACCACTTCAAAATCTATTTTAAAGTTTTTTTTGTCAATTATCCCACATTGCAAGTATGATAGTTATATATTTTTCTAATTTTATTATAATATGCTAACAAATTTACGTTTTTAAATTATATACTTTTGTAGATTTGTTTATTTGTAAGAGTCACACATTTGTTTATTATTAATAATTATACATTGACAAGCAAATCTTGTATTTTTATTTGCTTATTTATTTACATTATAAATTATATAATGTATTATTTTTATTACGGCTATAAATAATTTTTTTAAAAAAAATTAGATGATATTATAAGACATTTTAAATTTATTTATACAGGGTCAGAACATCTCAATATTCGCATATTGATGAAAAAAATGGAAGTTTTTAATGTAGTACCCCCATTTCTTATTAGATTCCTAAAAAGCAACATTTATGATAATTTTTTTGGATTTTTTTTTTAAAGCCGAATCTATCCAATTTGATCGATTCCCAACCCGAAATGGCGATTCACCTATCCAAATGGGTTTTTAAGGTGCCCGATCCAAAGCACCGATCCATTTTTTAAACCACTGCTCCTAACCATTAAATGTCAAATTGAATTCCTTGGTATATGTCACAAAATTTGATATTTTTGTTTTCGAATGTTAAAAGTCTAATCAATGACACTTACAACTACCCAATTTAAATTCTAACAGATAAAAAGTGATTGTAATATTCTTGTAACAAAATTATTATTTTTTTAATGTTAAAAGTCTAATAAATGACACATACAACTATTGAATGTTAAAAATCTAGTCAATGACACTTACAACTACCCAATTTAAATTATAACAGATAGAAGTGATTGTAATTTCCTTGCACCAAAAAAATAAATGGTCTCTTTGTATACTTCTCCCTCCAAATATTGGCCATCGGAAATATCCAACCTAATGAATTTATGAGGATTCAAACACACTAATGAATTTATGAGGATTCAATCACACCGTTTAAGAAGCAACAAAACCACAATGGCTTTTTCAAACATTTCTATAGAGAAGGCACTTGAATCCATAGGATCGATGGTCCAAAACAAAACAAAACGACATGAACATCCTCTATAGTAAAATCCATAGTTTACTTTTGGCCACAAGGTTGTGAGCAGAACTTAACTCCTAATGGCGGATGGCAAGATTCCATTAAATAATAAAATTTTGAAGAAAAGAATGGGTGAAAACAAAAACATTTGCATACATTCCAATGGGAGTTCCTTTTGGGATTAGTCATCAGGGGTTCAAACCTCTCCATCCGTGGTTTCTCAGGACTAGTGTTTTAACAAGATATCACAAAGTATTCTTGCATTCCAAATAACAGTGGTTCCTAAAATCAGAAATTTTTTCCATTCAATCATGGAAATGCCTGACTTAATTAAAATAACTGAAATGACCCACTTCAAGGGGCGTCTGTATATTCAAGAATATGAACAATAGATTGTGAGAAAAAAAGAACTAAGAGATCGCCCTGTCGTGCTGCCCTGACCAGCTCAAATCCCCACTGATAGAAGAAACATTACATTCGCAACTATGAAGGGGGCATTATAAAAAAAAACAAAAAAAAGAATTTTCACTATCATTTCTTCACAGTCCACCATAAGGGAATACACAATCTTCTGTTTACATTCCCGTGGGTACGTTGGCCTTAAACCATGCCACATGGCCTGTCAGCAGGGAATAAATATTGATTTTTACTCCTGCATTAAGGTAGCACGATCAGGAGAAGTAATAGAGTCTGATGGTGTTCTTCGAGGCACAACCTTGACTGTTAAGTTGGGATTTGACTCGTAAGATCCTTCCAATCAACCATCTAAATCTAACTTAACACCAACTGGACACCATTAGAGCCATGCTGTCAAGACCAAGGATACCATCTTTCTTTTTTGTCATTATTTTTCGTTTTCATAAGTTGGCCACCTTTAGCAGTTTAATTCCCATCCTTTTATGAGCGCATACCATCATGCAAATGCACATTCACTGAGACAGTATCATCTCCCATACAGCACCCAGAGAAGGTCACAACCATACAATCTTAGAAAGTAGATTTCACAAAGTAGCAAAGGATTGCCACCACTCTTCCATGCTCTGGAATAAATTATCGTATCAAGTGACCCAAAAATTCAGAACCCCTTTTTCCTTAAGTACCAGAGGCCTGGCCGTAGATCAACTTAAATCATGGTTACTTCCAATAAACCAGAACAGCAACCAGAAAGAATAGGCTTTGACAAGCTTTTAAATTCGGCATACTCTCATTGAAGGGCCTCAAAAAAGAGAACCTGTGGTTGCAAATGCCCTCTTTGACATGTGTCAAGGACCTGATTCCATCCACCCACTAACTGCATGACACATAAATTGAATTTGAGGAAGTTGGGAGAAAAGAATAAGCAATGAGCAGGGTCAGAAGTATTTACCTTAACAGTTTTGTCATCATACATGATCCACTTTTCGTGCTCGTGACTATAAGCAAAGCAGTGGTAGTGTTGCCCATAATAACATACCTGCCATTCAGGTGGAAAACCAAATAATTACGATAACTGATTAGGTAAGAAGGTTTGAATACAATGCAAATAACATGAATGTTGCTGTTCAAAAACTAGCTTTAGGGAAAAATCACACAAAACTTAAGAAGCCATATTTCCGGTGGGCTGGAAAGTCTAGGGAAGAATGTATGTACTGATCCTTATATAGGCATAAGAACAAAGCCCTCAGGTTCGCCATACTTGGGAGCCAAAGAATCATCAATGTAGACGAATCTAGCTTCCAAGGCATAAAGTGTTAAGATTCAACAAAATTTTGCAGTAAATATTTACTAGGGAAAGTAACAATGAAAAAAATATTTATAGGGTAAATCTGGAATATGATAAAAAAACTATAAAGCATCCATTCAGAGACTTTTTTTTATGATCAGAAAATTTTGAGACATCAAAGTTGCTGGCGCTTGACAATGCTAATGGGCAATTAGATTAGTACACACTGTTGAGCTCTGATGTCTATACTGTAGCAATGTGCCAAACCTTATTCTGTAACACATGAACAATCTGATGCCCCATTCCGGTGTCTGACACAGATATAAATAACTTTGTCCAAACAAATGCAAATAAAAAATTAAACAACTAATAAGGTCATGGGTCAAAACATAGTAACCTATGAAGTGAACAGTCATGTCTTTTAGGAAACTGTTTATTGGCAACTGTTTTGTTTTTTATCGACTCTAAGAGATCTAATGCATAAAGGTAAGAGAGTCTTCAGAATATTGGTGTAGGTATGGACAAAATGTACACCTAAAGGGTCAAATTTGTGTCATGGGCAAACCTCTAAACATGTGCAAAGGGGACAAGATCAGACCTTTTGGAGTCGCATGCAATTCCATCCTAGTGGCACATTTGCATGATAATGAATCAGCATGCTGATAAATCATTTCTCTCCATGGGTGTTCAGAGTACAACCTGGATGACAATGGTTTTGATTCTGTTTTGGATGATCAAAGTGTTTGATGATATTCCTTGGAAGCACCGCCTTTCCACGTAATGGTTAGAAGAGTGAGACTGCAAGGATTGGCCAACTCCATCAATGCAGGAGGAAACCATTGTTGAAAGAAGCTATCAACCAGTGTTTTCGAACTTAGCAAGATTGACTCAAACTTGCCTGAGTTACTCAGAACCAGCGGGGTGCCAGAATGTATTGAAAAAGTTCGAGAACCAGCTGAGTCTCACCAGGTCCCAAGGTTACTGTATTACTTTTTCATAGATTTGGCTTGAGTCTTCTTCAGATTCAGCCAAGTCAAACCAGCTGCTCAGACTCGGGCCCTGCCAGATTCCATTCACGAGGTAGAATTTCCGATCATGGCATTCAACTTAAGCTGGGTGACACATTTGAAACCAGAGAGACCCATGAAGTACGATCAGATGTTATTACTAAGCTGGCAGCGTAAGAGAGAGGGTCCCCTTTGTCAAATCCTCCGGTGCAAGGAAAGAAACCACAGGGTGTTCCATCCAAATTAACAAGAAGTTGGTTCAGGATATGCAAATATTATATTTACTCTCAAAACCCATCAAGCACGTTGTATCATCTAAGAATAGTCCAATCAAAATGATCATATGGCTTTCCTATGTTGACTTTGCATATGATCCAAGGTTCTTTACTTCAATGCCAAGGGTCATTTACATCACGAACAACCAGGGTTGCATTAAGGATCTGGCACCCCTTTAGAAACGCACCTTGCGGTGTGGAAATGACCAGATATAAGACCTCCCTCTCACTTTAGCCACAATCCTGTATGTACCGCTAATGAGGCACATCAATCAGTGAACCTTGATGTTCACTGCTCCTTCAGATCTTAGCATGAGGGCAGTTAATGTAGCATTCATTAGTTTTGACCTTCAATTGTTGTTCTCTTGATGTTAGTCCTCTATCGTAGCCGGTCATATCAGTCCCAAGCCCGGAGAAAGGAGGAGGGTCGTCAGGTTGGCAGCCAGAATAAAACCTTTTCCGCATCAATTTCATGAATCCTGACTATGTTGTCTTTTGTGGGTGCGTGTGTGTGAATGTTAACTGTTGTATTGCACAACCCAAAGATGGGGTGCTTCACAACAAAAACACCTTACGGGGCCAAAACAATTTCTATACATCCCAATAATAGACAGGTGAAAAAGGATGAACCAAAAAGCGGGGCTCCAGTGCTTGAAAAGGTGCCCAAGTGTCCCCTGAGGATGCTGTTGTGTGGCGCCCTCCTTGACCAGGGTTTCAGCTGCATCATTTGCTTCCCTAAGGTATGTCGCCAAACCACTTGCAAATCACTAGTAAGGTGGAAGCTTTGGTCAAAAATGCGATCCAGTCGCCAAGGACACGGGGAGGATCTGGAGGCCCAGGCCATGACATTCTTGGTGTCCCCTTCTACAATCAAAATGGGGCCCCCAAATAGGGTTGAAATTGCGTAACCCTCCCAGAAGGGCAACTGCCTCTGCAGTGTTGGAGTTGGTGTGACCAATGAAACGGGAGAAGGATTAGAGGGTATTGCCATCATTGTCTCTGAAAATGCCACCAATACGTGAAGGTCCAGCGTTGCCAAGGGAGCAACTGTCGAAATTGAGCTTTGCTTACCACAATTCAGGTGGCCTTCAAAGAGAAGCCCAAGAAATGCAGTGAGTCCTGAGATGTAAAATGTTTTGTCAATTGATGTGAAAGTTTGAGAGGGAGAAGTGTTGGAACGCAGAATTTCTTTTCGCCAAAAAATGACAAGGGATTTGACCTTATCTTTAAGGGTTTTGATGGCAGCTCCCTCACCAAGAAAGATCCTGCATTTCATTCAACCAAGTGACCCAAAGGGTGGCTGCCACTGAAGCCCGCCAAAGAAGGAAGCCAGGTTTCGACCAAGGTGGCAAAAGGCAGCTCCTAAAAAGGTGGGAGATTGAGTGTGGGGTCACCCACGACCAGCCAAAAAGCTGGAGGCAGCCCCCCCCAAAGCGTACTGGCTGTCTCCCAGTGGAGGAAGAGGTGAGCATTTGGTTTCTTCCTCCATGGTACGCAAGATGCATCTGTTGGGTAAAGGCAGTCCCCTCCTTTGGATTTGCTCAAGAATTAGGGCTCTTTCGGAGATGGCTAACCATCTGAAGAATTGAATTTGGGGAGGGGGTGAGTGGCAACCAAGCATTAGCTGCAATTGAAAGCGAAGAGGGAGGCATGGTGGGGGTTAAGTGAAGAATGTGGTAGAAAGAGTGAGAATGGGGCTGGGTATGGTGGGGGTTAAGTGAAGAATGTGGTAGAAAGAGTGAGAATGGGGCTGGGCATGGTGGGGGTTAAGTGAAGAATGTGGTAGAAAGAGTGAGAATGGGGCTGGGGTCGTAGTGGTGGTACCATTGTGCCCCATTTTAAGGTCACGGCCTCCAATCTCACTAACGCATTAAAAAATCTGACTATTTTCAAAATGGGTAGGGGCCCGTATTCCCCACTAATCTACCCAAAGAAGGTTGGGGAACAGCCAATCTTATCAGTCCCAGGAGAGAAAAGGGAGAGGGGGAGGGGAAGGTTATTTGTAAAGGGATGATAGGGTCAGGAATTGTGGTAACTCTAGGTCTGTCAAGGGTCTCCTTAAGGCAGGGCTCCACACTCCACTGGGGCCCAAGGACTCAATATTGTCGACTACAGTAGCATGGGGATTCCATATTCCGTGCTACAAGGAAGAGTTGGGGAAACTGATCCCTCAGCGGTGAGTGGCCAAGCCACAAATCAGACCAGAACAGGACTCTATTGTCGGCCGGAGGACGAAAATGAATATTACTAATAAAGGACCATAACTAAGAAGTACGGAGAAAGGATTTCTTGTCATGAGCCTTCCTCGTCCTTCTTCCCCCCTCCCCCCTCTCCTTCATGGCCCCTTTTCCCTCGCCTCCTTCCCCTCTCCTCCTCTCCTTTGCTGCTTTCTCTATCTCCTGACTCGGCTCTTAGGCTTGCGTACCAATTCAAGTGCTCTGTGGTGGGAGTGTTTCAACCCTAGCAGAACGTTGTTCGCAGTATCAACAAATAGGGAAGAATTCATTGGAATGACCCTGCTCTATCTTGCCAAAAACTCTCAGACGGTTCCGCCCTTTTCTCATTCTCATCTATGAGTTTCGCCCTCTCGGCTCTCAACTCCCCCCTCCTTTCTTTCAGGGAGCCTCCCTCTCTCTCTCTCGAGATGAACACACGACCTGGGCTCTTTCCGTCTCCAGAAGGTGTGGGTCACAATATCCACAATCCCACCTCACGCTTGGGATCAAGACACTTTCAAGATGATTGAGAACGTCTGTGGCTCTTTCGTTGATGTTCATTGGAGATCGCTGGAATATCTCCCGCTAGGTTCTTTCCGACTGATCATCGACGTTTTGGACCCCAATTCATTGCTCATTGCCTCTGGCTTTAAATTCTGGTCTGTATTACCAGGTCTTTCTGTTCTAGACCTCCGCCTCACCATCATCGGCTCGTTTCGTTTCCAACCACCACATTCACCCTCAACACACCTCTAAGCCAGCCAACTTGCACCACCAAGGACTACGGTTTCCAGAAACCGTAACTTCCAGATGTGCAAACTCCAGAACCGCCAGCGATCATACGTTGATCGCCGTCCATCTGTTTCTTGTACGTCCCCCCTCGTTCAGGCTGTCAACCTGTTCGATGTCCTGCAATCTGAACGTCTCGAGAATGAAACCGACGCGAGTTATTCACCCACCCCAGAAAATGGCTCCTTCAACACGCATTACCCCTCACCGATGGAGGCTCCCGATCATCTTGTGCATGGGGGGGACGTGTCGTTATCTCTGACAACAGCAGGCGACTTCTGCAGTACTCCACCGACCTCGATTCCCCCTCTCGCTCCACCTGTCAGTCTCACTGCCTCCACCATCCTGCCCACTCAACCCCTTCCCCACCTACCCCCAACCCACCCTTGAGGTTTCTCTCTCCTCGAAAACCCCGATTTCCTCTTCTTCGCTATCCCCCTTCCTTACCTTTGGCTCCATCACCA